TAAAGCCTTGGCAAAAGCTATAAAAGAATTTCAAACTCCTTCCAAGAAACAGTGCGTCTTATCTGCACTATTACTCAGAGTATTACTGGACTAAGGGAATCAGCTATCCAGATTTTCGTTTATGCATTCCTGTTAACATGAAAAAACATAAAATAAGGGATTCATTGCAATGAATTTGTATTAAATAAAACTTTTGGAAGACATGGTGTACCTTTAATCCCCAGTCATTACGTTTAGATATATAAAAGAGTACAAAATAACCTGAGTCAATGCAGTCTTACAGAGTAATACTGATTTCCCAAAGTGCTTTGGGGACAGAAGGACTCTATAATAAATAATAAACACTTACAGCATAACCCTTTATGGCACAGTACAAAGAGACTGGGATTTGCAGATATAAACATATATAAGTGCTCTCATCTTATTAATGTGTATTTAAAACCAAGTGCATTGCTAACTGGCCTTTGTGTGGAAAAGTCAGAAGATAATTGGGGAGGGACACTGAAGAACTGAGAGCTATCAGGAACATGAGAACACAGTGGCAATGTAGGAGAGCCCATAAACCAGGAACTGTAGAGCTATTATATTCTTGGAAAACAAACACTGTTTTGAAAACAGAATGGTCATAGATGGAAAAGGCCAAGCCTAGATGGAGTATATGTTATTTTCCAGGCCTTCAGTGTAGCAGCCTTAGCCCTGGGGTGACATTCATTGAAATCAATGATAAAACTCCAATTGATTTCAAAGAGGCTAGGATTTCACCCTGCTCTCTTGGTCAAATTCTAAACAAAGTAACTACACTTCTACCCTGATATAACACGACCCGATATAACACGAATTCAGGTGTAATGCGGTAAAGCAGCGCTCTGGGGGGCGGAGCTGCGCGCTCCAGCAGATCAAAGCAAGTTCGATATAACGCGGTTTCACCTATAATGTGGTAAGATTTTTTGGCTCCCGAGGACAGTGTTATATCGGGGTAGAGGTGTATATTTCAGCTATCTACAATTCTATTGTAGTTTCCAATTGTATATGGTATTCTTCACTTTCTGTCTTGAACTGTGATATAGCATCACTGTGTACTGTGTAAACAGTTGCTACATTTTACTAAGAGGTGATTGCACTTCAACAGTGGCTACAGAGTTTTTAAACAAGGGCTTTTAGAAAAGAACATGAGAATATACAATAGACAGTGAATCTCCTTTCCCGGGATCTAGTGGGTACCTTACAATGGACACCAAATTGTTTGGGTAGTTTGGCAATAGAGACATCACTAATATTTGGAAAGCTATTCAGAGCATGTTGACAAGTCACATTCCAAATTTGCAAGCAAGAACATGTTCATTTCATTCCGAACACATTCAGGCTATTTAACTTGCACATGTATTCAAAGAATAATGCCAACTGTCTCACATTTACACAGCTTTGCATCTTGAAAGGCCACTAGCTCAGGGCCAACTCACCTGAGGGGGAGTCACACAAATAGATCTCTCCTTTCCCAAGTGGAAGTGTGGGTTTAGCCAACTCACCAATACTATTCTCCCTTCCTGGGACTCTGAAGAAAGTTCTCCACTAGGTCCAGCATCCATGCCCAGAGAGAGGGCAATGGGAAAGTACATTCTGCTGTCTACCACATCTGCTGGGAATCCACTGTGTAGCTAATGGTGTCTGTGGTTCCAGACATGGCCTCTCCTTGATTTTTACCATATGTCCCTTCCTCCCCCCGTGCCTCCCTTCAGAGCTATTCTGACAGGTATGCTCCTGATTGGAAGAGCAGGCTGGAACAGCAGCAGGCCTCCCTCAAACTACCACTAATGTGGCTCAACACATCAGCCAATAACTTCCTCTCCTCCCCAGTAGGAGTCAAGCGAGACCAGAAATGATCCAATTCTATCAACTCATTCTTTCTGGGAATAAATCTAGAGAGGAGGAGGAGAAGGGGAAGAGAACTATTTTCAGTAGCTCACTGCTAGATTCACTGCTCACATACCTCCTCATGCTGGATGTTATTAGTTCTCCAGACCAAATGCCTTTAAGCCCCCTCCCCTTTTTTCTTTAAGTTATAGATACTGTATCTGGCATTTTTAAAGCTTTCAGACTGAGTAGCATACAGTACTCTGCAGTGGCCTCTGTGAAACCTCACTTAGCACGTGGTTAGAATCTCAAGGCAGTTTGAATTTCCTTTGACTGTTTTTTTTTTCCTCCTGCAGGAAATCAACAGAGGCTGCAAAACTGCTAACATCATATTTTTTGGCACAGCATTTTTAAAGAAGAAGAATTTATCACCTTTTTTACTGGGGTCTGAAGGGCCCAAAGATAATCTTCTTTCAATATGTATTTTATATAGATCCATGAAGTGTTGTATGTCTATATGAAACCCCGGCCATTCCACAATTATTTTCATTTGTATTTAACTTTCAAGCACTTCAGTTCAACTGTAAGCAAACAATCTATCATTTTTCATGTAATCAAAACAAAGTAACACTGTAGAACTTCACTGAACAAACAAAATCCACTGCTCCCTGAGATGAGGTTTTCTGCTCGCATGTGTATCATATGCATTAAGAAGTTATCCCAATTTAATCTAATTTTTTTCACCTGACCTACTCAGATAGTTAGATTTTACTTACTAATTTGTTGGCTCACAATTTATAATTGACAGGACACTTCAGTTACACCCACAAAAAAGAAAAACCCACCACATCCTTTAAAAATAAATATATGAAATGTGAGACTCCCCTCTATAAAAATCTAGACTCCTCTGCCATATCACGCCAATACTTCGGTGTTAGGAGTGTGACATAAGCAAAGCCTTTCTCCTTCTAAGGACAATAATTAAACCACTTGCCCCAATCAATGTTGCAGTTCAGCTCCCACAATGAGGGTACGTCTTCACTACCCACCAGATCGGTGGGTAGCAATCGATCTATCGGGGATCAATTTATCGCGTCTCATCTAGACGCGATAAATTGATCCCCAAACATGCTCCTCGTCGACTCCGGAACTCCACCAGGGCGAGAGGTGGAAGCGGAGTCAACGGGGGAGCCGCAGCTATCGATCCCGCGCCGTGAGGACGGGAGGTAAGTCAATCTAAGATAAGTCGACCTCAGTTACACTATTCTCGTAGCTGAAGTTGCGTATCTTAGATCGATCCCGCCCCCCAGTGTAGGCCAGCCCTAAGTCTCACCCTCTGCATTATAATTCTACAGGAAGAACTCAGTTCCACGCAGCTCTGGCAGTATGTTCAGAAATGTCCTGTGAAAGAAATGATAGCAAAATGTCTCAATGTTAAATAACCAAGGGCCAATTTCCATTCTTTTGTTACTCTAATGTTTACACCACGGTTCTCAGCCTATTTACCATTGTGGGCCGCATATGCAACTCTCTCTGTGTTATGTGGACTGCAGCCACACAATATATATACTACCTGTATAGCCCTGAGGATGTCACATGGGCCGCAGGGGGCCGAGAAACTGTGGTTTAGACCAATACAACAGATCAGAATTTGGCTCAAAATACATGTTGATTTGGTGTCCTCAGATTTTTTCTGTAAAGACTTTCGAATGACATCAAGTAGGAAGACTTTTCTAATTCCATGTATATAGATCTTGTTTTTTCTCTGTCTCTTTTTAAAAATCCCTACTTATAATGCATACGTGAAAGCCATATTCCTACAAATCCCAGCAAGACAGCACTCTTTGGTCTGGTGTCCTCTTATTTAAATTCCCAAACACTGCTCAGGATCTTCCTGTGGAGTTTTTCATCCAGAGCAGGCCTTCAGGTATAGATCTCCCCACACATCTCCCTCAAGGAGGGCATTTCACCATCCCCTCACTGCTTTCCCTCAAACAGATGGGGATTCATATAAAAGGGGCAGGGCCATATAGGCTTTGAGGATATGGGGGCCAAAGCTCGTGACCATTTTCCTGGGTGGTAAACCTCACCTATTTGACCAGCTGATCTCACTGAAATGCTGTGAGGGGGAAGTGGTCAATGTTTTCCTTTCCCCAGCCTTCAATAAATGACATTTGCACCTCAGCCTGCCCACTGCTCTTATTCTTTTCCGGTGAGGAAAGGGGGCAAATACTCCACCCTATCAACTTTTCACACAAGACCTAAGTTTAAGCCCATTAAGACAATGGCATGATTCCCACTTACTTCAACAGGTTTCTCAGGCTTAGTTACCCTTTCAAACAGTTGATTTGCATAGATGCTATCAAATCACAACATCATGTACTTAATCCCTGATTGAAACAAAAATTGTACAGCCTTGTTTTCATTTCTGTATAGAAGAGACAGTTTGGTATGGAATACCACTTCAACCCAGCACAATAGAGGACATTATAAAAACTCAACCATCAAACAGTAAAATAATTGTCCCGTGTGAGGCCTGTCTTATTCCAGATTCATTGAGGAATGGAAGCATTAAACAGTAACATAAATTGGGGTAAAGTGCATGCAATCATTTACTAGCGTTATTCCTTTAAAGAGGTTACTAATATGAACTGTAAGTAGATTTTTATACTGTGCAAGCACAGGATCTGAATAGACCAGTATGCAGAAGGCAATATCTTTCATTGTGAATGATCCCAAAGTGCTTTAACCATATATAGTTATATATAATTTTGTTGAAGGACTCCTGGTCAAATCCCTACTTATATGAAAACAGTCAAGAACTCTTTCACTTCCATGCAGGGCAGACAGAAGGACCTTGACTTTTCCAGTCTTTTCTGAAATATCCCATCACCATAAACTATATGAAACACAATTTACTTTCCTTAGAAAGATAAAAGACTAAGTTGATCCTGTCAGAAATTGAGCTTGTAGTCCCAAGGCACCTAGATCTTCCAAGTCTGATTTTAGCTCACTAAGGCCATCACCTGGTGCAAACTCCCATTTGCACGCTAACTAAATTCCAGCAATCCCCTTTAGGCTCCATTCATCAGGCCTAGCAGTCAATTGGCCAGAGAGGTGTGATGGCACATGTACCTCACACAGGTCCTGAATAAGTTAATGTGGGCCTAAGAGGCCAATTAACATACCTGACAGCACCTGCAACAGAGAGAGAGTGAGAGAGCCAGGCTTAATTGATGATGAAGCCCAGCTGAGGAGAGACTGAGTGGTGATTATAAAGCCAGGAGTTGAAAGCAGAAGGGACTCTTAAGGGTGGGAGTCTGTAGTCACTCTGTGGGAATAGAGAGGTAGTGAGAAGGAAGCACAGGGAGGGGGTATAAACCCTGGGTTCCTAGCCTGCCTGGAAGAGACTGAGAAGCAGCTGAGGCAGCATAAAGCAGCCACTGGGGTAGAGTGGGCAAACTTTGGACTGCCAGGGGGAGAGAGACCTCTGGAAGGGATGGACTAAATTGTGAGCCACCCAGTGGGCTGAGTTATGGGAAGAGAGATTGTTGCAGCAACAGAACGACTGTTGGCATAGGGCAGCAGACTGAAAGTGTACTGTGCCTGGCCAGAAAGGGGTGTACTGAGGTGAGTGAACCCTTCAAAAAGGGTCACTGTCAAATGAAGCAAAGCACTCCTTCCTTCCAGGCTGGGAAGCACTCCCTGCACCTTTGATACCTAGGAGTTAGAGATCAGGAAACTAAAGATGCACCACCTCCCCCACCAAGTGCAGAGCACTGGCCGCAGGTGCTTGTTAACTTTATCACTTTGAAACATTAAAGGTTTCTTCCTCTTATCAAATATTCCAGTGTATGAGTGAGAGCCTTTGCCTGTGAGATGAAGAAAGACTGAGTCAGAGGGGAGAAAAATGTCTCCTAAGAGCCACGCTTAGACACACTCAATAACAGAGGCACATCTATGCATTCACTACCTGTTCCTGTGTGCATTTTTTATTTTATTTAATCTGATGTGTATATTTACATTGGAAAGTGCTGCAGGCATGCTAATGGAGTCACTACGGATGGTGGGGAAACAGATTATAATGTGAAAAGCAATCAGAAGGGATTTTGGGCGAGAAGGGAGAGAACATCATCACCAATACAAGGGAGGGAAGGAGACAGGAGATGTCCAGGAGAGGTGAGGCAAGGACAGTTAGTCTGCACAGAACTGACTGCTTCATTAGCAGAAGCTGGATGGATGCCAAAGCATTCCAGAGCAGCATGTTTGCCTTTAGGACCTCCTTGGTTTTAATTTTTTTCTTTTCCCTCTCATTCCCTTTCTTTCTCTTAGCTGAAGAGAAGGCGTATAATGTCATTTTTCACACCACTGTGAATCCTTTTCTAGAAGAGGAGGTGTGCCCGAAATGAAATTTACACACACACTTCCCTCTCTCTAGCAAGTCAGAGTACCTTTTCATTTCAGCCTTCTCTGCCCCCATTCCCTTTCTCAGTCCTGTACCCAGCTTTGCAATTTCCATAGTCATTTCAGTTTTGTTTCCTTCCCCTCCGCCCTGCATAGTATTCAGGAGATTCAATAGGATCAGACCAAAAGGATACTTGTTCTTTTCTCTTTCCTAAGGGCAGTTTGTTCAGGGTGTTTCTGTGTACAGTCTGTGTGTATCTTGTGTATGCATATCCTGTTTTGTAACAGTAAGCTTTGCTGTTGAACTGAGCTAGTAGTGTATTGATTTCCCTTTCTTCCCCCCACCTCCACATTCCCTTTCCTTCCTCCTCTTTCTCTCTCCCTCCCCCCTCTCCCCCCTGTATGCTTCCCACAGCAAAAAAAATTGCCTCCAGGACTCCATAAGTCCATGTTGGCGGGACTCCTTGTTTGTGGTGCAGGTGTGCCGGAGACCTCCTCCGTGTCGTCGCCACAGCAACCCGCCTGTCTAATCTGCTGAATATAAAAAGAAGAAACAGAAAGAGAAAAGCCATCCACCCCCTTCTGCTCCATCCATGAGCCCAAAAGAAGGATATCGTCTCCAAGCATTCCTCATAATCCCCCAGCCATTGCCCAGGCAACGGCCACAAGGAACTGGCGGGCCCTGGGGAGAGAAAGCAGTCCCTGTCTCAAGTTCATTCCTCCACCACCACCTCCTCTCCCTCCCCGCCCCACTTCTACATTTCACCCCTCTCCTGCTATTCCACACATGCATCCTATACCTCTCTGCCTCACTCACCCCTTGCTTCTACCCAGCAGGTCACAGACAGTGACTACGTACATTTCATCACTCCTGACTTTGGGTGACCCCCTCTTCCAAGAACACACACAGGGAGAGACCAACGGAACATTTCAAAACTGTCGCCCCGCTTGTATGTTTGCTCTAAATTGACCCCATGTCCCTTCTATTGTGGCTCATTTAATGATTCACTGTTGGCAATAACAGTGTAAATGTTAGGTCTGACTTTGTAAAGTTCAGTTTCCATAGCAAAAACCAAGAGAGATTTATACTACATGATAATTGTTGAGTTCATATGGAACAGCAGCCAGATACTATGGTGATAGGTGCTTTAGAAATGCCAGCTGAGAACCAGCTATACGAAAAGAGAGAGGGAAAGGACAGAAAACTTTAAAGATATTTAAATCTTCAGTCACCTTTCAGATGAGCTCTGTGTTGCTACAAGTGTGTTTATGTGCTAGAGAAAGGGCTGGAGAGAGAATTCTTCTTATCAAAGCCAGTAGTTTAAAAGGCAGTCCCTTGCAGTTTCAGTTATGACAGCTGTTTCTGGGATATGAAGAGGTTTTTCAGAGCTGTGGGCTCTCTATCCCCTGTATCCAGCAGTGAAAGCTCTCATTTGTCTTCCCACCATCATGTTGATGCAGCTGGGTTTGACACTGCTTACCTCAGCACTTTTTTTTTGTTAAAAGACAGAAGGCTTCCTTGTGATCCCAGCCTTTTCCTATCAAATGACACTCAGGCAGTGGTTTTGGTGACTTATTTACTGGCACCAGACCAGTAAAAACAAAAATGAACGTTCACAACTAATAACTCTTTGAGTCTAGATAGCTTCAGCTACACTGGTAGGATTA